TGAAAGATTACTGTATGGAAGATAAACGCATCACATCATCGTACCTGTAAGGACGTTCCCCGGAATGAGTTCTCATGTGTGTCGTCACCGAACTACTTTGTGAAAATCTTCTGTCGCAAACTGGACATCGGAATGGTTTCTCTCCTGAATGTGTTCTTGTATGGGCGGTCAAGTTGGCAGCTTGGCTGAAGGCTTTCGAGCACGCATGACATCTGCGATCGAACAAATCCAATCGTTACAATTTTTTATTACTTTTCTTTTTTTTTTTTTTTTTTTTTTTTAATTGATTAATTAATTAATTAATTAATTAACTAATTTATATATATATATATATATGTATATTCTCAATTTTGTCTGTCTGTACTTTGTCTCTTATTCTATTTATATCATCCATATTGCGTTGAATGGTATTGCGTCCGACGTTTACATCCTTAAAGAACCATCTTATTTATCTATCTATCTGTCTCTGTCTTTCTTTCGTTTTCTCTCTCTCTCTCTCTCTCTCTCTCTCTCTCTCAGATCATGTCTCTATTTAGACAAAAATAATAATTGTTTCGAATATGTTACGCCTAATTGCATAAATTAATACGGATTATTTTATTAGCGGGAATTTTTAAAGAACAAAGAAAAAGAAAAATAGGAAACGAATGAAAAGAAAATAATAAAAAAAAAAAAAAAAAAAAAGAAAACAAAAAGTAAAGAAAAGAAAAAATAAAAAATAAATAAAGTAAAATAAAATAAAATAAAAAACATTTAACAAAAGAAAAAAAAAAGATACAAATGATAATGATAATGATAATGACGATGACGATGACGATGACGATGACGATGACGATGACGAATATTAATAATAAATCGCGTTACCCAATGAAAAATAAAGAAACGATTCGATATCATCATATACTTTTTCTATTTTCAACAGTAACGAGGCTGTATCCATTTGAACGAAGTCTGTTAGAAGCGAGTGGTATGGATGGAGTAACCCGAAGATGATGATGATGATGATGATGATGATGATGATGATGATGATGATGATGATGATGATGATCATGATGACGATGTTGATGACGATGAAGGTGGTAGTGTTATTCCTGATCGTAGACAGTTTTTATATCGAGGCAAGAAAATGAGGACGATTAGGACAATGAAAATGAATGGACGAAGAGGACGAGAACGAGGAGAATGAGGAAAAAGGGACTGAAGGGAAAGAGGATGGACGACGTGAAAGAGAAAACGGGTGAGGGAAATGGGGAAGGAAAAGAGAAGAAAGGAAGAAGAAAAAGAAAAAAATAAAAACGATAACATAAAGAATAAGAATAAAAAGAAGAAGTAGAAGAAGAAATATTTTTCAAGCCGCCAACCTGAATGGTTTCTCGCCAGAATGAGTCCTAAGATGTGTTTTAAGAGTACTAGGCCGGGCATAAGATTTTCCGCATATCCTGCAGAGATTTGGCCTGCCATTGTCGTCCGGGTTGGTTACGACGTTTGGTCCACCTCCACCACCATTAACACAGAGCGCGTGCTCGTTCGGTCCTTGGAGACGGGGGTGAGTGTGCGGATGGGGATGAGCGTGGGCGTGACCAGTAGTACTACCACCTATCAGGCCATTCGCCGATGCCTGATTTACCCTCGTCTGTGTTTCTACCGGATTGTATTGAGGGGCGGGACTTAACAACGGTTCTGCACCCCATGCCGACGAATAACTTTGCTCGTACCTACGCACACGCGTATATATATATATATGTATATATATATATATATATGTATATGTATATAAATACACATATGCATGTGTGTGTGTGTGCGTGCGTGTGCGGGTGCTTATATATGTGTGTGTGTGTTAATGTATATATACACACTATATTTTGTCTAGTTTTTATATTTTTCTCTTTTTTTTCTGATACTTTTACTTTTGTGTATATATATATATGTATCTTTCTCTCTCTCTCTCTCTCTCTCTCTCTCTCTCTCTCTCTCTCTCTCTCTCTTTCTCTCTTTCTCTAGTTGTTTCTCTTCCCTCTTACTCTGCCGAAAAATAATGGCGGAAATAATGGTCGTACCTCAGGGTCGTTCGACGTTTCTGTCACAACCCACACTCCTTGTATATATATGTATCATCCCTCTCTATTCATTTTTATTCCTCCTCATACCATGTATTTGTGTTTTTTTTTATTCATCCTTTTTTTTTGCTCTTTCCCTCTCTCTCTTCCCCCCCTCCCTCCCTCCCTTCCTTCCTTCCTCCCTTTCTTCCTCCACACCCGCTTTTTCTTATCCCCGCTCTATCCTTTTCTTTTCTATCCGTATACACGTTTACTATGTAACGTTAGGCACGAACAGGGAAGAGTAATAACAGAGAAAGTATTATATATATATATGTACATATATATAAATATATATATATATACATATATATATATATGTCATCTCGATCTTAGAAGGCTTACCCAGGATGCAAGTTCATGTTCATCGTCATATTCATCGAAACGTTGACCGACATTGC